GTCATCGTCATCATCTTCATCATCATCATCCTCGGCAGCAGCAGCAGCATACTTAGCTGTAGCTACTGCTCTGGCAATATACTTCTCTTCTTCCTCATCCTCCAAATCATCCTCAATCTCATCTTCATCCTCATCCTCATCTTCATCCTCATCCTCATCCCCAGCATCATCTGTTTTAGTCCCATTTGTAATCGCCAGAGGGTCCTGGAGTTGGGATCCATTCTCTTCATCTTCTGGAGCCCCGCTAGCACTAGAGTTCATTGAGTTCTCTTGGTTTAATGCAGCACTGCTGACACACTGGAGAAGACGGAGATACTCATTAGGATCCATCTTATACCTTCTCTCAGCTATACGCCGGAGTGTGGTGAGTATCATGATAATATCTCGCTTAGATACATTCTTGTCGATCATCTCCGTGAGAACCCAGGAATCGGTTCCATCGAACTGGAATTTGGCACATTTTAGTTTGAAACCAGAGGCGTAGACGCAGAGCACCTTGTAAATATCGTAGCCGATGGGGCTACGATTGTTTCGCACCACAATATCAGTGTTGGGCTCAACGTCTGGGAACGGGTCATTAGATTTCATGTGTCGGGTTTCAATGTGCGCTTTCAACCGTTGAACACTGACATATCCTTTACCGCAATGGGTACACTTGAAGCATTTCTCCTTGTACTTGTTCTTCTTAATGAAGGAGCCGTCCATGGTCGGAGTAACAGGGGTAACGGTTGCCATATCCCCATTAGTATCTGGCTTTGGTAGGATTTTGACCGGTGAAATTTCCGACCTGAGTATAGGACGCCCAGGATGAGTTTTCTTGATGTGAACGTTTAATTTGTCCCGCCTTGGATAGGCACTTATACAATACGGACAATCAATCAGTTTAGAACCAGAGGATGTCCCCTCTTCCCCAGAGCTCTGGGTTCCCTGATGCACCTCCTCTATGTGAAGCGCGAGAAGTTTCAAAGAAGGGAATTCTCCGCGGCACTTTAAACACGTGTGCATACTTCCACCACCCACATTTACCACCAGGGGTGTGGATTTGGGTGGTATCACCATGGGCACATTATCTGTGATGACACGAGTGAAAGTTGCCCCTGGACGAGGGGACTCCATAGGATGCAAGTTCTTCCTGTGAATATACAAACTGGTGTAGCTTGAATAATATTTCCCACATACCTCACACCAGAATTTCTTCTTTAAATCTGAGAATGGCTGAGAGTTGGGACCAGCAGAAGTGACAGCACCGGGGCCGTGATGATTTTTTTTGTGAATCCAAAACCCACCCTGAGAAGAGTAGGTCTTGGGACAAAGAGGACATTTAAGAGTTCCGTCCGCTAATCTGATTGGTTGAATGTTAGAATCCTTTTCAGGAGTTTCAGGTGATGAGTAAGTAGGTGCTTTATTCAAACTGGACATGACAAACGGGTTTTCAATGGGCATCCCCATTGGTTGCTTAGGATGCTTTCTGAACATATGCTGATACAACCCTTTCTTGTCGATATAGGCCATCATGCATATCTGACACTTGAACCCTTTCTCTGTATGTTCCTCTCTCACATGGAGCTCAACTCCAGAAAAGGATAGGAACAGAGTGGAACACTCTGGGCATTTATACCTTCCCTCAACCATGACATAATCATCTATAGTGTACTTGGTTCGAATAGGTTCTGGAGATTCCATATCACGAGATATGAGTCCAACAATTTCATTTCTTCGCGGTATCGGCTCCGGCATCGGCATACCAAGATGAGACCGCCCAATATGCTCGCGAAGCTTGTCGCGACGGGAATAAGATTTCTCACAGTAAGGACACCCCCCAGGTCGGCAATTCTGATTCTTTTTTATTCCTGAATTAAGATGATATTAACTGTGATATACTGCTTAAATGAGCTTGTATAAAAGTATGGACCGGTTTCTAGAAAAATATTTAATAACTGTGGTTTATTTCTTGAATAAGATTAAAAAGAACTAGATAAGATAAACAATACACATGATATTTCTCTCAGAGGACAAATGGTATTTTGAAATTTTTAAAAAGATAAGTGAAGAAAATAATAAAATTTAATCAATTTGGCCTGGCTACACATCAATGTCTTGGTTCAAAAAAAAGGTCAAAGAAACAAATTTTTACTTTTAAAATTTTTTTTACTTCTACATCTACAACATTACTACACTATTGTAATTTCCAGTATATTTCTGAAAAAAGGATTATATACAAGATCTATTTTGGTTTAAGTCAATACTGAACATTACAGCTGTCTGTACGATATCACATGCGGTGTACAGATGTACAAAATTAAATTAGCACTACTCTTGTTGATCGTACATGAAAAATATGTTTGAAGTACAAGGCAAAAGAGGAAATTTTTGTATGTTTCATGTTTAAAACTTAAATCGGATATCGTAGGAATTACCACAGCTTTAGAAAATTTATCTAATAATTGATTATACTTGTGATGCCAATGATAGCTAACAAGCTAAATACTTCTAGCTGATCAAATAATTAATCTGCTATTGGGTTAGTTCAGAAATAGATTACATCTAAAACCCGGAACAATTTTGCATGCTTTTAATATGAAATTCTGGTAACTGATTTGCATAGATTCCTTATATTTTGCATAAATTGCTGGAAAATGTATTATTTTTAAAGCAATTGATTTTTAAAGGATTAAGGCGAGATTACAGATTAATTCTAATTTACACGAATTCATAATCGTAGATCTTAATAAACTACAAGATTAAGGCGTATTTGTTCTTTACACAATTTACTCGTTTTAACTGATTTATATTATGTATAACTTGAGTCCAAATGAGCATAGTATGGCGTACAGAATATTATTAGGATTAGTAATTCAGGGTTTAGAATTTGTTTTCAAAATAGGATTAAGGATGGGCACCACCATTTAATGGGGTGTTGGCGGTTTGAGGATTAAACTGCATTGGTATATCATCCTCATCCTCTTCCTCGTCATCATCCTCTTCATCCTCTTCATCTTCTTCTTCACCATCCTCATCCTCGTCATCGTCATCATCTTCATCATCATCATCCTCGGCAGCAGCAGCAGCATACTTAGCTGTAGCTACTGCTCTGGCAATATACTTCTCTTCTTCCTCATCCTCCAAATCATCCTCAATCTCATCTTCATCCTCATCCTCATCTTCATCCTCATCCTCATCCCCAGCATCATCTGTTTTAGTCCCATTTGTAATCGCCAGAGGGTCCTGGAGTTGGGATCCATTCTCTTCATCTTCTGGAGCCCCGCTAGCACTAGAGTTCATTGAGTTCTCTTGGTTTAATGCAGCACTGCTGACACACTGGAGAAGACGGAGATACTCATTAGGATCCATCTTATACCTTCTCTCAGCTATACGCCGGAGTGTGGTGAGTATCATGATAATATCTCGCTTAGATACATTCTTGTCGATCATCTCCGTGAGAACCCAGGAATCGGTTCCATCGAACTGGAATTTGGCACATTTTAGTTTGAAACCAGAGGCGTAGACGCAGAGCACCTTGTAAATATCGTAGCCGATGGGGCTACGATTGTTTCGCACCACAATATCAGTGTTGGGCTCAACGTCTGGGAACGGGTCATTAGATTTCATGTGTCGGGTTTCAATGTGCGCTTTCAACCGTTGAACACTGACATATCCTTTACCGCAATGGGTACACTTGAAGCATTTCTCCTTGTACTTGTTCTTCTTAATGAAGGAGCCGTCCATGGTCGGAGTAACAGGGGTAACGGTTGCCATATCCCCATTAGTATCTGGCTTTGGTAGGATTTTGACCGGTGAAATTTCCGACCTGAGTATAGGACGCCCAGGATGAGTTTTCTTGATGTGAACGTTTAATTTGTCCCGCCTTGGATAGGCACTTATACAATACGGACAATCAATCAGTTTAGAACCAGAGGATGTCCCCTCTTCCCCAGAGCTCTGGGTTCCCTGATGCACCTCCTCTATGTGAAGCGCGAGAAGTTTCAAAGAAGGGAATTCTCCGCGGCACTTTAAACACGTGTGCATACTTCCACCACCCACATTTACCACCAGGGGTGTGGATTTGGGTGGTATCACCATGGGCACATTATCTGTGATGACACGAGTGAAAGTTGCCCCTGGACGAGGGGACTCCATAGGATGCAAGTTCTTCCTGTGAATATACAAACTGGTGTAGCTTGAATAATATTTCCCACATACCTCACACCAGAATTTCTTCTTTAAATCTGAGAATGGCTGAGAGTTGGGACCAGCAGAAGTGACAGCACCGGGGCCGTGATGATTTTTTTTGTGAATCCAAAACCCACCCTGAGAAGAGTAGGTCTTGGGACAAAGAGGACATTTAAGAGTTCCGTCCGCTAATCTGATTGGTTGAATGTTAGAATCCTTTTCAGGAGTTTCAGGTGATGAGTAAGTAGGTGCTTTATTCAAACTGGACATGACAAACGGGTTTTCAATGGGCATCCCCATTGGTTGCTTAGGATGCTTTCTGAACATATGCTGATACAACCCTTTCTTGTCGATATAGGCCATCATGCATATCTGACACTTGAACCCTTTCTCTGTATGTTCCTCTCTCACATGGAGCTCAACTCCAGAAAAGGATAGGAACAGAGTGGAACACTCTGGGCATTTATACCTTCCCTCAACCATGACATAATCATCTATAGTGTACTTGGTTCGAATAGGTTCTGGAGATTCCATATCACGAGATATGAGTCCAACAATTTCATTTCTTCGCGGTATCGGCTCCGGCATCGGCATACCAAGATGAGACCGCCCAATATGCTCGCGAAGCTTGTCGCGACGGGAATAAGATTTCTCACAGTAAGGACACATCACTGGTTTCTTTGACTGTGCGTGCACAGCTTCGTGCATGGCAAACTTCATCTTGTCGTTAAAGCGAGCTGGACAGAACTTGCAAGCATACTTCCGCATGCGATAGTACATCCGCTCAATCAAGCGACGGTCTTCCTCGCACAGATCTTCACTGTCAGTTTTAGGCTTCGGAGTTTTGTTTTCTCCGTCTTCATCCTCATCCTCATCCTCCTCCTCTTCGTTATCTGCCTGGAGTCCGAGATGGAGTCGGTTGATGTGCAGTTTTAATCCAAGGACAGAGGTAAACTTTTTATCACAGATCAGACAATCAATTCGGTCATCAGGCCTCGCCAGGTTGGCTGGATCCCTGTTCTCCGGGGGCTCTATCCCGTCGTGCCGTTTTCTCAGATGGTTTTTATACCCGATTCTTTGTTGGAAACTTTTGTTGCACTTGAAACATCTGGTGTTCATAGCCTTGACCCCCCTTTTCCTCTTTTCCAGGACCTCCTTGTCCGTGACCCCGGAGATCCTGTTCTCGGGGACGACCTTGTAGTCTATAATGTTGTGGTAACCAGACATATGGTTTCTTAGAGCAGATCCGTCCACATACCGTTTACTACAGACAAGACAGATAAACTTCTTCTTACTATAGGTTGCTTTCATCTCAGTTCGATCAGGTTTACCCCGTTCCATTAACCTCAGTTTATTCCTGAACATAACAAAGTTTTACAGAAGTAACTCTAAATGAGTATCAACAAGGTAGATATCACCATTTTTCTATTATAAACCAAATTTTTTTCACATTGTCTCCGTATTCAGTCACATATAGAAACCCCACAATTTTAAATAATGAGCTTTCAGTTAATAAAAAGGGTGAATCAGAAATGCCACTTGAAATAACTCTGTAGTACCATTAAAATATGTATTGTTCCGTCTTATTAAGATTTTTTTTAACAAGGCCCAATTTCCATTAAATAACAGGGTAAGAGGACCTGGTCCTGCCAATCATTCAAAACTATATTTGTTACCAATAAAACAAGTTCAAACACGTCACAGCTTTTAAAGAAATAAACCTTACCTAATTTCCTTCTCGCCGTCGCTCATATCACTGTCGCTATGAATACTGATATCTGAGTCCTCCTGGTCGCTGTTAGCCCTACTACCCTCTGTGCTAGCAATAGAATGATCAACAGCTACCTTCTTCTTCTGCCTTTTCTTTCTCCTGCAAAAAAAGGAATGAATCTTGATCATCTATTTTCTCTTATTCCTGAGCGAACGAAAAAACGCAACCCCCCCCCCAAAAAAAAAAATAACATCAGAATCCAAAGCAAGTTACTGAGTTTTTTGTTAACCAAGGGTCTAAATAAGGGTATTTCATATCCAGTCCATGCATGAATGTTATCATTTAGAACATCTTCTATATATATTTTGCTGGTCTGTCTGTCTGTCCGTTTGTGTCCAATCCAATACGTCAAAACGGCTGAACCGATCGGGCCCAAACTTTGTGTGAAACACATGACCCCACGGAAGGTTTATGGATGCTCAAAATTACAAAAATTTGCGTCACGAAAGTTTTTGATTTTTGGGAAATTTTGAAAATGCTCGAAATAAAAGATGGGCAAAAAGCGCCTTAAAAGCCTAGTTATGTTGATTTTATTGTTATTATCTCTGTTCAAAAACTACGAACTTGCCTTCAGACCACAAACAAACAAAAAAGTTAATCTTGGCAAAAAAATGATCGTGTTGAATACCTGTGTGCTATAGGATTGAATAGCTCCTCTGGATCACTGTATGCTTCAACCCCCTTCTTCACTTTATGCATCTCCACCATTTCAGCAGGGATAATGTCATTCCAGTCAATATCACCACGAGCATCTGAACATCAATCAATTATTCAATTTTTCCTATAAATCAATTTCTTTTACAGTTTATTCATTAATCCTTCGATCAATTGATCAATTATTAAATCTTTTGATCAACTGAGCTCAATTATTCAATCAACTGATCAATAATTCAATTAATTCACCAATTAATTAAACAATAAATCAATCAATTGATTAGCAGATAATTGTTAGATTTTATTTACTTAATTATTGACTATTCGATTAATAGATTTTACAATTAAGACAATTATGAATTATGAATTTAATCTAAATATCTGTAAGGTCCATATGAACTTTATCCTAAAAATTTGAATTTTATGCGAATTTAAATTGCATATCAAAGAATCTGTTAATTGTATTTATTCTAAATATTATAATTGCAACACGTATAGTGACGTATAATTGCAGGTTGAAAACTTGTTTATTGGTGTATGCAGTGCAAGGAGATAGTTGGACAGCCAAACAGTAAATAAACAAATAATATTGGGTGTCAAGAAAATATAGGAAATCAAGATAATTTAATCCTTTGCAAATTTAAAAGCAAAAATTATGAATATTTAAAGGACGAAATTCATTTTCATTTTTCAGAAAATACTTCCAATTTTCTATATGATTGTTTATTAATAATTTAGTTTCATTCGTTCATCATTCAAACAGCAAACATGTTAAAGACATTTTAGTTTTAGGTTTTGGGGCATTCTATTAAACCAGATCAAGACTAAAACCAGACATTAGACTTTCCTGTACTCAGAGATATCTATCTATCCCTATCCCTTTCTTCAGTCTCTAGAAAAGGCTTGGTAAGGTATTATATGTTATCTTTAAAAAATCCAGTTTTAAAGATGAAAAGATAGATTAATCTGTAAGATAAAACGACCAAAAACTCTTAATAAAGAAGCTTTAAAAGTGGGTATGATCAAATATTAATTAAGTATTATTAGAAATATATTTTTCAAAATAAAAACATACATTTTTACTTTGAAATGGCACTTCACAATAAGTGAAATTGCAACTGCAGTGCCATAAACATTAAACATAGCAAAAAAACTCACGCCCGTTCCAGAACTAAATTTGTAAGTACACATCTTCCTTACTAATGGAACATAAATGGTAAAAAAGTTTTTTTTAAAGTATCAAAACCCAGAAAAAAAGTCTGAACAGGTACTTTTGGAGGTTTAGACAAATCTTTCCAGAATATTTTTTTCATATTTTTTCCAGTCAACAATAAATCTGAAATGAGTTCAAGTTGTTTTTATTTGTATAAAACGAATGTTTAAATTGATTGTCTTTCTATATCCTACCTTCCATCTCATAATCCTTCTCTGTCTCCTCGAACTGCAGGGTTGTACACTTGAATGCGTTGAGGAGCTCCTTGTTCGCTTTACTGATGGGAGCCTCCTCCTCCTCCCTCATCTCAGCGCTCTCAAGGATAGCGTCCAGGTTCACGTCCTAAACATATACAGCTTAAAGGGACTGTCAGAGATATACAACTTGAAGAGACTATTAGAGATATACAACTTAAAAGGACTGTCAGAGAAAAACTTTAGTTGTCCTGCTTTTAAAGAATGCAATAAAAATGACATTTATCCAAGTATGAATTAAGTAGAGTCGATTATGTCAGAATAATGTTAATCTAAATAAGCAAACGAGTAGAATTCTACTATAGAAAAGCATAAAAAATAGCTGAGACTTTCATCATTCTACATAAGAAAAAAAAATCAACACCATCGCTCCTTGAATGAAGGGTATAATTTGTATATGGTTAATGGCACTAATTGAATAAACCAATATATGGATATTGGATATTATTAAGTTACTAAGTCCACCAAAATCAAAATCAACATTAAATCAATCAATCAATACCTTCTCCTGATCTCCCTCCTCCTCCTTAAACAGATCCTGAGCTCCGAACTTGAGGATAAGGTTGAGCTCGTCCTTGTTAAAAGGCTGGATCTTCCCTTGCCTGTCCTTAAGGCTGGAACCTGCAAAATCATGATTAAGTCAATAACAAAAAACTTAGCAAACCTATATGATTGAGTAAAGCGGGGTCAATTGTAATTAAAAACTGTTAAAAACACCCTGAGGCCGAATTTAAAGAATTTGAGCCGCGGCTTAAATTTGAGACGTGGCTCAAATATGGTTGGTTCCACTTAAAATTGTATGCAATGTTCAAGATTTAAGCTGGCGCTCAATTGAAACCGATTTTTGGCGGGTTTGAGACGCGGCTCAAATGCATTAAATATCAAATATAAACTGCAAGGTTGTTAAAACTCCCCTTGAAAAAATGTAACAAACCGTAAGAGAATCTTCAAACTTCATATTATTCCAAAAATCAATCAACCAATCAATCAATAAATCAATCAAACAAATGAGTAACCAAATGAGTAACCAAAGGAGTAACCAAAGAAGTAACCAAAGGAGTAACCAAAGGAGTAACCAAAGGAGTAACCAAAGGAGTGACCAAAGGAGGGACCAAAGGAGTGACCAAAGGAGTGACCAAAGGAGTAACCAAAGGAGTGACCAAAGGAATAACCAAAGGAGTAACAAAGGAGTAACAAAGGAGTAAAATAGGTGTAACAAAGGAGTAACAAAGGAGAAACAAAAGGTGTAAAAGATTTAATAAGATGAGTATAAGGTTTGTATACATTCTTTTGTGACGCATAGTCAAATCCGATAGTTAAAAAATTGGTGAGGCCCAGCCCCCTTATCCTGCTCGGAAATAAAATGTCCAGACTTGGTCATTTTTCCAAATAAAACTATTTTAGGAAATGTCCTTAAATGTCACGGTAAAATGGCAAATGTTTTTCTCTTCTCTTTAGTTCTACTCTCCGCAATCAGTTTATCAATTAAGCACTAAATCAAATCAAATCTATGTATTTTGATTGGTGATTGAAAAAGTCGATGCAACTATGACCAATTATGGAAAATTCAAGTCCATTCGAAAATCTTTCTATCCATCAACCAAGGAGAATGTTACACGGACCTGAAAATCTTGACTTCCTCCTTCTGCCCGATCCTATGAGCTCTGGCAATGGCCTGGAGATCGTTCTGAGGGTTAAAGTCGCTGTCGAATATGACGACTCTGAAAAATAAAAAAGTTGGACTTAATCAATCAGAGAGAGTCAGGGAAAACTTTACCAGAGAAGGATTAGAAAAATAGGAGAGAAATATTAAGAAAAGAGATTTTAAGCAAAATGATTTTTAAAAATTAACTAACGGAAGTTCTTTTAATAATAAGCGTATAAATTATTTAAATTTGTATTTTAGCGATCAAATACTTTAAAAATGCAATCGAGAATATTTTTTCAAATGAACAGGGGTGGTTTTCAAACAAGGAATGTAATCAAAACCCGGAAAGTATGATCAAATAATTGAAAACAATCTAATTTAAAACAAGAAAAAGAAACAAGGGAGATCAAATGAGTAGAAAAAGGTTCAAAACCAAACTAATGAGAAATTTAGCCTAACATCAAGTTATCAACCCACCTGTTTGCAGTCTGCAGATTAATTCCCAGACCACCAGCCTTGGTAGAGAGAAGAAAACAGAAATCCATAGAATTCTTGGCATTAAACGCGGCAATACTTTGTTTTCTGCGCTCGGCCGGAACAGATCCGTCCAGGCGTTGGAACGGATATCTTTTCAGGTTGAGATACTCCTCCAGGATGTCCAGTAGTTTAACCATCTGAGAGAAGATGAGAACCCTGTCTCCCTTCTCCCGGAACCTGGTGAGAAGTTTGTCCAGCAGAACCAGTTTACCGGATCCATAAATCAGCTGCTGCAGTCGGTCCGCCTAGAATTGTAAATAATTTAACTCCCTGGACTGCTGTGAACCCATTAAACCCTGGAATGTTGTATTCTAATATTATTGAGTTTGTTATCGCTGAATTTCAGATATGGGAGATATTGACTATTGTTTTACTCCAATAGCCAATGACCAAATAAAATAATAACGAACCGATGATGTGTTCGGGTTCTCGTCTTGCTCTTGGATCAGATCAGCGTGGTTACAGGTCTTCCTCAGCTGCATCAAGATGTTCAACAGACTCACCTAGAACAATTAATAAATATTTAGATTAACAGTGGCCAGAACTCTTAGTTGACATAGCGCTCAGCTGCAAAAACTGAACTCTATATCCAACCAGGAAACTTTTGCATTAGGGGATTAAATATTTAACTCTCTGAAACGGATGTATTTTTCGATTTTATTTCGTTACGAACCCTTAATTTGGATAAGTAAAGTATAACAAAATGTTTCCATAAGCGATCCACGTCATTGGCAAAAATACTTCATCCGTTAAACATCAAAAGAAATGAATTTGTGCCGTCTACACTCTACAGTCATAACAAGAAAGACAGTTATTCAGACGGCTTTACATATATCCCTAGTAATATTAAACGCACGATGAAGGCAGACCCCATTTTGGAATTGGCAGGACTAGAGCTATTTTCTGCTTCATTAATCATATTTGGAAAATTAGATTGTAACGTTGTCTGATCAATTTAATAAATTCCGGGTCTTTCTGGTTATGACTCTATAGTGCATATGCTGGATCAGTTTAGACCTGTTATTGGTATGCCTTTGCCATGCAAGAGAAATGAATGTCAATTTTTGTTAAAAATACGGGATCGTGTAAAGCTGGACTTTTTTATTTTAACTGGCAATTAGAGGCTGAGAGAAAAATAACAATAATGGCCAGCTTCTGCAAAATGTTTTATGAGAATCAACATTTAACAATTAAGTTGCAATTCACCTGATTTTTCCCTTTTGCCAGAGCATCAAAGTTTTTGGTGAGAACTAGTCTGTATAGTCTCTTCTGTCGTACTGTCATATCAACCCGGAGAATTTGCTCAACCTAACACAATATAACAACATCAAAAGAACCGTAGATATTTTTTATAAATTTAAGGACTTCAGAACGCGCCTGGATAAAAAAGTGTATGCAAAACTAATTTAAAATAAAAATAGGCAACAACAAAAAAATCTGAATTTCAAAAGTTTGACATGTTTAATATGAGTTATTTCAATCTTAGAATCAACTCATTCTTTTTTAAAAAGTTCATAGATCATCAAATAATCAATCATACCTTGCCGGGAAGTGATTTCTCTACATCCTTCTTTAACCGCCGGATGATGTAAGGCCTAAAAAATGTAATTAAAAAGGCTGTTCAATATTTATGTGAAATTTTATTTTTTTATTAATAAAAGGAATTTAAAAAAAGGGAAACCTTTCCAATTTTTTAAACTTTCCCGAATTCAAAAGATTGATTTTATTTTCTAAATTTTAGCACGGGAAAAAAATAAAAATTTGAATTAAAAAATGCGGTTTTTAAAATTAATTTACTTGAGAAGTGTGTGAAGTTTATTGTAACCATTTTCTTTGTCCTGATCTGTACCGTAGTTCAGCCGGAACTCATCCCAAGCCTACACATGTACAGTTAGGTAATGTACACAAATACATATGTAAATTGTACAATTCATTTAAAAAAAATACTATACATATGTACAGCTTGATACAATACACTGTGCAGACTGCAGGTCATTATATAACACAAATACAATATACATGTGCGATTTATTACTTAACACAAATACAATACACATGTACAGTTCAGTACAGTACACGAACACAATAATTGCTTTTTAGTTCACTTTTTTACTGAACTTGATTGACCAACAAGAGATCAATCTATTTTCTCCAAAAAAACATCAAAACCCCCAAACAAAAAATTGCTCCTTTGAGAGACAAAATCGTTGTTTTGTGTATTTGCATTGATATTTAGTTACTAAATTTAGATCCTGATCCAGGATCTATAATATTATTAATTTTACTAAGCACTGACGACAACTTAATTAAATTGTTTTACCAATATGAAAGAAAAGCATCAGGGTCAGTTATTAAATGTAATATAATGACTGTAAGTAGTAAACCTGAAGATCTGGAGGTTTGATGTAGCTGAGTAGACACCAGAGTTCCTTTAGAGAGTTCTGTAGAGGGGTTCCTAAACATACAATTTATCAGGCGCTGGCTTCCCAAGCTAGTCTTTTATATCATTGTAATATTTTATTTTTTGGTATTCCCCCCCCCCCCTTATTTCCAAATAACCAAAAAAAACACCTAAAGATGGTTTCTAACATAGAAAAGAAACACAAGGGGATTTTAAGAAAATACATAATCCTACAGAACACCCCTCCCTGACTTTCGATCAGATAAGCACCTGTAAGGAGGAGCCTATGTTTTGACCCAATATCCTTGAGAACCTTGTAGAGTAAACTATCCTCACTCTTGAGCCTGTGTGCCTCATCTATCACAATATTACTCCATTCTATCTCACTAAAATGCTGTCGATCCTTCACAACCATCTCGTAGTTCGTCAGCAACACGTTGAAGATGATCTGCCCGTTCTTGCTGAAGCACTCGTACTCCCTGATGATGGCCCTACTGGCGGTGTTCCCGTTATACGTGATGGTGTTGAGCTCGGGGCCCCACTGCTCGAACTCCTTTTGCCAGGCCGCCATGGTGGACAGGGGGACGCACACCAACATAGGACCCTTGAACGGGAAGTTGTGCCACAAATACTAAACCACAATTTCGTTGAAACTTAGGAGAACTTACATTTTATTAATTTCTTTATAATTCAAATCACTTTCTATTTGAAATTTTTAACTTATTTTTTGTTTTGTTTTTGTAAATTAAATGACTAATACTTTTTCCTTTTTTTTTGATTTTCACACCCAAGATTTTTACTTTAATTTGGTAAGTATGAAGTAGGCGAGATGGAAATTTATGAATTCGGGGACATTGCATGAAATAAGTAAAGCTCAATCGACCACTTTTGTTTCATGATACTTTGGCGATCTCTTTGGTTGAAATAAATGATCAAATATTTCTTGACATCCAATTGGGTTTGAAAGCCCCTAGTTGTCGGGGTTCAGTAATTTTATGACGATTTAGATTCATGAACTTGGAATTCAATAGTTTCCAATTCCAGATTTTACGGAAGGATGTTTATTTTCATAAAATACGGAAATATTATTTTTAATGAATTGTATTCCTTGAGAAAGCAGATTGTCTGAATAGTTTTGCCCAACCCCATCTCATCAGCCAGGATCACACTGTTGTCCTTCGCCCAGGCGTTCACCATGAAGTTCAACCCCTCCAGCTGATAATCACGCAATCTACAAAACATGAAAATACATGAAATTAAAAAGAAAATCTGTTTAAAAATCGAATTGGTTTAAACTTTGTTAATTATTTTCATTAACATTATTGTCCTGGATCAGTTTAGACCTGTTATTGGTATGCCTTTGTCATGCAAGAGAAATGAATGTCAATTTTTGTTAAAAATACGGGATCGTGTAAAGCTGGAAATTAATTACACGAAAAATTGTTTTAACTAGAAAAAAGTTCTAGAAAATGTTTATAAATCAAAAATATAAAAACCTGCTCTGATATTAAAATATTATATTTCCTACCGACTTCATGGAGTCATTGTAATCCTTTGGGAAATTCTTGCTTTTTGTTCTCTCTTCAAACGCCTTTAATTGATCCTAAATTATATATATGTTATTAGATTAAAACATAAACTAAAAGAAAAATTTAAACATTTCATATTTTGATTGGTCATAAATAATTGGATCTATTTATTAAAAAAATATTATAATCTAAAAGCATGACTTTCAACATTGGACAATCTAAAAATATTGTGGAAGTAAAAAGTATAAACCATTTCTTATAAAGCTTTTTTAATTTTTAGTTAATGTGATTAGTCAGTAGTCAGTACCAGGCTATATTAATACCTTTTAGTGCGAGACATGGAGAGGAATATACAAGAAGGGAAAATGATCTTCCCCTGGTGAAAAGGTTTAAGGGTGACAGTTGTTTTGGAATGTGTTTGGAGAATTAATTGAAAAATCGCTTTTACTATTTATACCTGATAGTAATTAGTAACATTAAACTCGTCCTCCCAAGTAGCCTCGCAGTACGACAGATTCCGCCATTTTATATAATAATCCTTTCCTCCGCCCTCGTTCCGCCTCACGGAGAATACTCTCTCCGCCTCAGCATAGGTAGCCAGAGTCTGACGGCCAAGTTCTAAAAAGTAAGTATTTAAATTATTAACTAAAGACAAACATTGGTCTGAAGTTCTGATTGAGAGGTCTTCACAATACAAACTTTCAATACAACCACTTAGGCACAGTGTATCTATGTAATCTCCGTGTACGAGCTTAACAACTGTTCTCCATCTATTAAAGCGCTCCGAAAACTGAAAACGTGAGCTGGATCTAGGCATTATAAATAAAACTTTTGTTTTTAAGCCCAAATTTTTAAATTTTTCGTAAAAAAAGGGAGGAAAATGTCAAGAAAAATTACATTAATAATAATAAGATCTATAAGTGAAGCCGACATGGAACCCTCAGACGGCCCTCAGGTGCAGCGCATCTACATGCGGCCTAGAATCCATCCGGGCTAACACACAATATCTAACGCCCGTGGATTAGTGATACATCCCGGTGGCTGGCATGATTGCATAGTGGCGAAGCACACCTGCATTCTACATCAAAACCATTCCCATTCCCAACCTAGGTATCCCAGAGAACGCATCAGCCAAGGCTTCCAGGATTTTTTTCTCTGTCTGAAACCTAGTGTACAAAATTTGATAAAAACTAACAAAATTACCTATTTCAATTTCTTGGTATTCCACGTCTTCAGGGCTGGCTCTTTTCTTCCAAGTATTAAATTCTGCCAACTTATTCTGATAGTTGTGAAGCTTTCTTAATCCCTTCACATCCTGGTTTCCCTTCCGTCGAGCACCTGTAAATATTGATTTAAGATTCAGAGATGGAAATTTATGAATGCAGCTCAGATTAAACTTCTGGCTTATGATCATAAATGCTGTTTTCAGTGTATGTTAGGTTTTTTGTCCGGAAACAAGATGTTCAAAATTTCCATGAAAACTTCAAATCCCATCCCTTTTCCCCTCTAAACAATTCAAAACTCATAATATTACGTCCAAAATATTTATATGTTTGGGGTTTCAGCCCTAAAAACAGGGGGAATAATTCACTTCAAAAATCTTATATTTTGGTTTACCATTGAAAGTCATTATACTGTACCAATGGTTTCCTCGGTCTCCCATGTGTTGTTGATGTGTGACCAACCCTTCCACTTGATGAGGAACTGCTGCTCCGTCTCCTCTGTCTCCAAGGTGAGGTTAGGGTCTCCATTTATCTTTACTGTCCAGTGCATAGTACACTCTCCAGTAGCTCCAACCTTACCTGAGAAAATAAAACTGGATTAGTTTCAGAGAATTAAAAAAAAAACCTTAAGCTAAGAAGATTTTAAGAGTTTTGTGAACCTTTATTTTTAAAGTGGCATGCGATGTCCCTACTCAAGACAGAAAAGGTGTTTTAAATGAAGTAGGGACTTAAGAAAAAACTAAACATTTTAGCTTTCAGAACTGGATTTTATAAATTACATTTTCTATGATCTAGAACAAAGTCTATATTTTACCTAATCTACGATCTAGAACAAAGTCTATATTTTACCAAATCTAGATCTAGAACAAAGTCTATATTTTACCTAATCTACGATCTAGGACAAAGTCTATATTTTACCTAATCTAGGTCTAGAACAAAGTCTATATTTTACCTAATCTAGATCTAGAACAAAGTCAATATTTTACCAAATCTAGATCTAGAACAAAGTCTATATTTTACCTAATCTACGATCTAGAACAAAGTCTATATTTTACCTAATCTAGGATCTGGAACAAAGTCTATATTTTACCTAATCCAGGATCTAGAACAAAGTCTTTTTTTTACCTAATCCAGGATATAGAACAAAGTCTATATTTTACCTAATCTACGATCTAATACAAAGTCTATATTTTACCTAATCTATGATCTAGAACAAAGTCTATATTTTACCTAATCTAGGATCTAGAACAAAGTCTATATTTTACCTTATCTACGATCTAGAACAAAGTCTATGTTTTACCTAATCTAGGATCTAGAACAAAGTCTATATTTTACCTAATCTACGATCTAGGACAAAGTATATATTTTACCTAATCTAGATCTAGAACAAAGTCTATAATTTACCTAATCTAGGATCTAGAACAAAGTCTATATTTTACCTAATCTAGGATCTAGAACAAAGTCTATATTTTACCTAATCTAGGATCTAGAACAAAGTCTATATGTTACCTAATCTACGATCAAGAACAAAGTCTATATTTTATCTAATCTAAGATCTTAAACAAAGTCTGTATTATACCTATTCTATGATAAAGAACAAAGTCTATAATTAACCAATTCTATGATCTCGAACTAAGACAATACTCTATATTTTACCTATTCTATGATCTAGAACTAAGTCTATATTCTATATTATACCTATTCTATGATCTAGAACTAAGTCTATACTCTATATTATACCTATTCTATGATCTAGAACAAAGTCTATGGTATCAACTTCTTCCTCTGGCACCAGAGAAGCAGGAATATAATCCATTTCTTCAAGATCACTCCTAGAAGAAAAACAGTTTTATGATTTTTTTTATTTGAAAGTTTCTTTAAACAAACCTCATTTAATTTTAACTATTTGCCCATTTCTGGCTTAAGATTTCCTCTTTTTTAAAAATTCCAGGGCGCCTTGATGAATATGAACAGCGAGCATGATAATATTGAGGGGGGATCAAATATATTAGAAACCATGCTATGTTCTAAAAGGCTAACCTTAGATCTGAACTATGTTCTTCGTCTTCCTCTTGGTACTTGACTCTTTTCCTCTCCATAATTCGACCAGATTTATTCAATTCAGAATCCTGAAAACATAAACTGTATCTGATGGGTTCGGTCAACGATTCACACCAGATGAAATAAGAGTTTGACGGTGGATAAATCACAAGTTTACAGAATATGATCTTAATATTTAAGTCTGCTTAAAAGCACAAGAAAAATAGAAAGTATAAGAAAACAGTTTTAATATTTAAATTTGACATATTCTTATTTCATAATTGATATAATTGTTTCTATGCAAATATTCACAATGCTATCCTTGAAAGCTGCGTTTAATATAAATGATAATTATGAAAACTAATTGTCTTCGATTTTGATTTCTCTAAAAAATTTATCTGCAGGAAAACATTTGGGAATTATCACTTTAAAACTTAGTAACGTGACAAGATCTTTCAAATTATTGACCAGATTAAGGTTTCAAGAGAACCGTCGTGAATCCGGCTTTGCACGCAGGATCACTTGAAGTCTTTTATAACATACCTTGGATTTTTGTTTTAATCGCTTTTTGAAGGATTTAGAGACAATCTCATCCGCGCTTCCGTCCGAGTCATCTTCGTTCTTCTTTTTATCAATCTGTTTCTTCTTCTTTCGAACTGCCTTCTTAGGTGATGCATCATTTGAGGGTTTTGCGACCGGTTTCGGCTTTGGAGGATTTTTCTCTCGACCTCGTTTTCGCTTCTTGGTATCGGACTCGTCCTCATCCGATTCTTCCGTCACATCTTTCTTCTTGTGCGATCTTTTGTTGGTTTGAGGTGGGGTGTCGAACTTTTTCGGTATTTTTCTCTCTCTTCCGGATTTTCTTAAATTACCATCATCCTCATCTAATCTTGGTCTCTTACTCGCCTCCTCCCCTGAAATATCTTCATCCTCCGATCCATCCTCGCTCTCTTGATAATCCTCATCATTAGGATCTAGTGATTGATCAAGGGCGTCCTGTATCTCCTCCCTACGGAGAACCTTGGTCAGGACGGGTTTCTGGGGGTGTTCCTCCAAGAGATCCAGTCTGATATCCGTCCCGTCGGCCAGTGAAATTATTTGAGTAAAATCACTTTTAACATCAATGGGTTCTTCTTTGAAATCCATTTCAATATCGAGAGGTTTCATATCACCGTTAAGGGCACTAATTTCACTTTTGATGTCCAAGGGTTCGTCTTTAAACTCAATGTTTCCGTTTCCGTTCATTCCGTTAAATGATGCATCTTTCAAAATCACTTTTTTATCTTCCACTTCCATCTGAAATTTTTATAATTTAACTTTCTAACTTTTCCTGACATGACAAAAGTACAAGTATCAAAATGGTTTTCACAATTTTAATTCCAATTACACTTTTGCAGGAAAAAGAAACATCTAAATTTTCAGAGTATTTTTTAGTAAAGGACTTAAAAAGACATTAAATAGAAAATAAATATTTGGGAGTGAAAATTCTGCTCATTTTGATGCAATTGGGCTAAAATGGGTCACTCAATTTATAAATCGTAGTTTAACTGCTCAATAACTCACAAAAACAACCTCACAACTCAACTAAATTGGATGAAAATTAAAATTTTACATTTTTTAAATTTTAATTTGTTGAATGTCAATGACTTATATGAGTAGAACGGCACGCTTTACAAAAATTAGAGGGAACAAAATTTTCACCGTCTGCTATTGGTTGATGAGTTGATCACGTGATTTGAAACGCCGAGATGTTCGCTCTCTGATTGGTCAGATTTATCAAGCCTAGAACCCAAATCTTTCCAGTCTAGCAGACAAACTGTACTTTGTAAACACAGGCAAAATAAATAAATAATAATAAAACACCCAACATTTTATTTTTTTGGGTTGTTTAATGTTTTCTTTAGCTTAAAGGTCCAGAGATAGATCTTAATTATTAATGATTTTGTTAACATACAGATTTTAGAATTGAGATCTGTATTAACAAGAAGAAGAGACATAATAAAGAAGGTTTCTTTGTTTTCGTCGTCTTCACAAATTACTATCGACCAATATTTGGCCGATTAATTCTTCAGCAATATAACTATAATAACCTAGCTATATATTTCAATTTTTTTTTCATTTGAACTATTTCATTTGAACTATTTCATTTGATCTTCCTGCATCTTTTGAAAATCTTTTTAAAAAGCTTGGAACCTTTGAAAGATATCTCTTATACTATCAACTTGACATTCTCAAAATGTACTCATTACAGTATTTACCATCAAGCTCTCTTCTTAAGATGTGTTATATACCGAATTGCTATTCATGTAAAACTAATTAGTAATTAGATATGTTTTAATATGCTTTGATATTTGTTGTGTACATGTCAGAAAATTACTTTAAACTCTAGTTATTCGAATAAATGTATAAACTATTTTGCATATGATAAATTTGCACCCTGATCTCTAATCGTTCTCCTTAAATCTATTTAATTGAAATATTTTGTTATTATTACTAACATTAGGTGGAAAAAATAATCAAAACAACGTACCATAGTTCAAACGGCAGTAGTTCAAATGAGAATCCACCACCCGGTTGCATTCTTAATCGTTGTATTTAACATTTTTATTTCCATACAATAAAAAGTTACACTTTACTTAGTTTTCCCTCCAACTTAATAATTTCCCCTCCAACCAGACAGGTGTCTCTTCAACCTGACGACGTAGGTTTTTCTTCTCCAGTTTTCCCTCCAACCTGTTAGGTTTCCATCCAATCTGTTACAGGTTTTCCTTCAACCTGTTAGGTTTCCCTCCAACCTGGTAGGCTTCCCTCCAACCTGTTAGGTTTTAATCCAACTTGTTAGGTTTCCCTCCACTCCAACCTGGTATGTTTCCCTCCAACCTTTTAGGCTTCTCCCAAAATTAGTAAGTTTCCATCCAACCTTTTAGGTTTCCTCCAACCTGTTAGGTTTCCCTTCAACCTGTTAGGTTTCCCTCCAACCTGGTAGGTTTCCCTCCAACCTGTTAGGTTTCCCTCCAACTTTTTAGGTCGCCCTCCAACCTGGTAGGTTTCCCTCCAACTTGTTAGGTTTCCCTCCAACCTGTTAGGTTTCCCTCCAACCTGTTAGGTTTCCCTCCAACCTGTTAGGTTTCCCTCCAACCTGTTAGGTTTCCCTCCAACCTGTTAGGTTTCCCTCCAACCTGTTAGGTTTCCCTCCAACCTGTTAGGTTTCCCTCCAACCTGTTAGGTTTCCCTCCAACCTGTTAGGTTTCCCTCCAACCTGTTAGGTTTCCCTCCAACCTGTTAGGTTTCCCTCCAACCTGTTAGGTTTCCCTCCAACCTGTTAGGTTTCCCTCCAACCTGTTAGGTTTCCCTCCAACCTGTTAGGTTTCCCTCCAACCTGTTAGGTTTCCCTCCAACCTGTTAGGTTTCCCTCCAACCTGTTAGGTTTCCCTCCAACCTGTTAGGTTTCCCTCCAACCTGTTAGGTTTCCCTCCAACCTGTTAGGTTTCCCTCCAACCTGTTAGGTTTCCCTCCAACCTGTTAGGTTTCCCTCCAACCTGTTAGGTTTCCCTCCAACCTGGTAGGTTTCCCTCCAACCTGTTAGGTTTCCCTCCAACCTGGTAGGTTTCCCTCCAACCTGTTAGGTTTCCCTCCAACCTGGTAGGTTTCCCTCCAACCTGTTAGTTTCCCTCCAACCTGGAATGTTTACCTCTAATCTTTCCAAACTAGAAAAGCGGAAACTATGGTTTCCAGATGGGAGGGATAAAAAATCAGCCCCCCCCCCCCCATTAACAAATTCTCTGATGTATCAAAATTACTACAGTAAAACACTGCCCTCTCACCTCAGCTATATCCCTATTTTCTGTTTACTTCCTTTAAGGTTAGAAATTACGAATTTGAATACACAAAAGTTCTTGCAAATATCTGATCCAATAATCTGTAGTTTAGCATGCACATAATATAAATATATATATATCCAGATATTTTATGAAGTATGTATTCATCATGATAATACATCTTATCTAAAATTAATCTAATATTTATCATATTTAGAAACTTCATGCAATATTAATTCTTCCTAGTTTATAAAGATGTGCAAGATGTTAACATGCTAAAAAATCTTTGATAAGGAACACATATTTACAATATTTTGGGCACAGACGCAACAGCAAATCAATGATAATAATAATATTAATAATGTTAATTATACGAAAGGCGACAAACACTATAGAAATCCAACGTATAGAAATCGCTCGGTATAGCAACAAGGCATATTTTCTGGGAGAACATTTTTTTATAATTTTGAGAAATTAAATAATCAGTGTAAAGTAGATATAATTTTCATAAAATCCTTTTATTTAAATGTTAACACGGAAATTTATGAAATCATATTAGCATTACTGGAGATTTTTTTTTAATATTTTTGAGAATTTTTTTTTTGAAAAATAAAACTGTACATATCATTTCATAAAATAGTTTTTATTAATAGTAACACGCAATTTTATGAGACCATATAAATCTGAGGGGACCTTAAACACAATAGAGAGCAGTACAAATGTACATATTAATCTAGTTGCTTGTATTGTCAAGGGTATGTTAAAAATAGAAGTAATGATAATGATAATGATAAGCTTCAATGTTTTACTAAACGCTTAACTTCTCAAAAATATTAAAAAAATTAGTCAGTTACTGTTTTTGATATTTTCTGTCAGAACTGATCAATGTTATATTATCAACTCCTTCTAAAATTGTTGATACTTGTTTGATTCCACAAAAAACAAAAATCCAGAAATAGAGGAATCTACACTAGTACACATTGCAATTGGCTTCCCTTGAACTCTAACCTAATGTTATTACTGGTACGACTGTGTTCCCTCGTAGCTCCTCTGGATGTATCTGGTTACAATAAAAACAATTGCAAATCAATCTTGTGTAAAATTTACTTAGAAATGGGATCGAATAATTAGAATTTGTGACGAGAGTTCAATTTCTTTATAGTAAATTTTGTTCTGTTTATTTATTTTGATTTGACTTTTTTAATGAGAATGCTTTGCAGGTTCATAAAGTTTTATTTGGTGACTTTTGAATGGGTTTGACCAGTTTTGTCAGAACTGGTCAATATTATTATTATATAATAAAAATAAATAAAAATAATAAAAATAAATCAATGGAATTAATGTCGTACTCTTTTATATGAAATGTTGCTCAGAATTTTTGTAAGTAAGGAATTGCCACAAAACAAATTTTCTTTATATATTTGCAATCTGATGATATAAACCTTTATTATAATTCTAACAGAATTAAAGTTTGAAATATCTATGGTCTACAACGTTTGATTGCATATAGCGTATAAAGAAAACTTTAACAAACTTTTTATCAAATATTTCCCCTTTCAAGCTTAACTGGACGATGAAAAAACTGTTGATTTTTGCCAAGTTTAGAACGCACGCCTTAGAGCATAGATCTAACAATGTGTGCTCAGCTGGGGACATAAAACTCATTTATGTGCAGACCCTGCAGAGTTGAGAAGGGATGGCAGAATTCTTAGAAAAAAAATTACGGAGGGTGGGATGGCAGAACAAGAAGAAAAGATAATTCGAAAGATAGTTTGGCAGAAATAGAATAAAAATAAGTCTGAAATGAATTTTTTTTTTAAATACTGAAGTCATGTTACACAGTAATAACCAGAAATATATAAATCAGAAAGACGACTTTATAGCAATACTTTAAATATTTGAGGTTGTTAAAAAGCAAATAGTTTTAATATGAACACATATTAAGTTTAATTGGTTTGTTTTCATCTCTTCGCTTTAAAACTAAGGCTCATGTAAATAAACAAAAAACTTAACTTAATATCTGATGAAAAAATGAATTCTCCATGGCCGGGTATCGATTTTTGTGCAAATAAAGAAAATTAACGCTTACACCATGTTCAGAAATAAAAACATCAAGCTTGGAAACCAAGCTTCGCCTGGAACCTAAACTTTCATTTTAAACTCACTTATCGTAGAATTTTAAGCAACCGATTTCCCAAATAAAAGTTTGAAGATAATCGATGAAGGAGTTCGTGAGTTATGATCGGACATACAAAATAGATACTGGCTTATTAGTTTTTTGTAACAGGAGCAATGCAAAGTATCTCAAGATAAGTTTTGGATTTGCCACCCCACCCTCTGTACAGAAAGGAAACAGTACGTTTACATAGGTTGGCATTGGGAAAACAATTAAGAGAGACAGTTTTCAAGGATTTATCACATATAGCAGCATATTCATTGCATGGACATTGCAATTCTTTATTTTTATGGACATTTTACGCTTGATTTTCACT